AGGATGTGTAAATTATCACTGGTGACTGGAATGCAAAAGTTGGAAACAAAGAAGAATCACCAGTAGTTGGAAAATTTGGCCTTGGTGACAGAAATAATCCTGGAACTCGCATGGTAGAATTTTGCAAGACCAATGACTTGTTCATTGGAAACACCTTTTTGCAAAAACATAAACGGCAGCTCTACATGTGGAGGGAAAGCAGTGGTAGGGTCCAATCTCTGTTCTCTCTCAACATCTTGGGTGACCAGTGATGGCTGCTTCTGAATTCCAGGAAGTAAAGAAGTTAGAGCAGGTACAGGAGGAGAGGAGAGGAGGAGCCCCTGGGTGGTGCAAACGTTGCTTAACATGCTTGGCTGCTAACCAAAAGGATGGAAGTTTGAGTCTACTCAGAGGTACCTGGGTAAAAAGGCTTGGTGATCTACTTCAGAAAAAAATCAGCCATTGAAAACCTTATGGGCCACAGTTCTGCTCTGATGCACAGGGGGTCATCTGGAGACCCAGTGGACTCCACTGCAACTGGGTTTGTTGGTTTGTTTACAGGAGAGGAGGAACAGTAGAGGGCGTGATACCTTCCAGTTCCCAGAATCTGGAGGGGCTGGAGGGCAAAGTCACTCCTCCCTGTGACCGTGGATCTGGGTGAAGCTGTGTCTTGAAGGGAAAGGTAGATGAAGGTTTCCTCCCATGCACACCTCTTAAATAAGATAATGAGCAGCTCTTTCAAGGATAGGCAAAGGATTTGCCCTACAGCCCAGTGTGAAGAAATGCTATCCCACTTGTCTGAGCCTGTTGATAAGCCTGGTGCCTGGTAGCTGTGCCCTCAGGAGTGGGCAGAGCTGAGTGTTCCCAGGAAGGCCACAGTGAGAGGGCCATCAGATACCCTCAGGTGGTGGTGCTGTCTGTCCCCACAAGGCTCTGCCTATTAAAGGAACCCCTCAGGGAACATGAATTGGAACTGAGGATCCACTGTCATTTAGTGAAGCTGGAGGGTGAAATATGACATCTGACAGTTAGTGCCCAAGTTGAAAACATCCGCAGATGAGGTACAGCTTTACAGTGAGCTGACACCATGTGCATGCACAAGTGTGTTTCGTTCTGAAAGGAGTTTGAGAGGCCAGCCAGTTTGACCCTTAACTTGCCTCTTGCTTTGCAATTCATACTTGCAAGAGTCTTGGGCCCTATCTTTGCAAACACACCCACAGTTTTGAACTGTATTTCATTAAAGAGCATGAATTCTTTACAAACTCAGTAATGGCTAAACAAAACTGACCTTTTAGGTAGGAGAAGCCAGGAGAGCAGTTTTCCTGGGTGCTTTTGTTTTGTTTTGTTTTGTTTCAGTACGTTTCATCTTCTTCCCCCAGACCCTAAGGCAAACATATAGGCATCCTGCTTGGCCTCCCCTCCATTCTCTCTCCCTTCCACAAAGTACAGGTGCTGTGTAGGATTTTGGGTGGAGATGAAGGGAAGGCAGTGGAGGTGGGTCCCTTAAGGTAGAAAGGAATTTATTATGGGTTTGGAGAAGATCATAGACTTCAGTCTTCAGTATGGATTACATCTCAACATAAAGAAAACAAAACTCCTTGGAACTGGACCAATAACCAACATCATGATAAACAGAGAACAGATTGAAGTTATCAGGGATTTCATTTTACTTGGATCTACCATCCACACCCACGGGAGCAGCAGTCAGGAAATCAGATGTCATATTGCACTGGGCAAATACACTGCCAAAGGCCCCTTTAAGGTGTTAAGAGGCAAAGATGTCACTTTGAAGACTAAAGTGCGCCTAACCCAAGCCATGATATTTTCAATCGCTTAATATGCATGTGAAACCTGGACAATGAACAAGGAAGACTGAAGAAGAGTTAATGCCTTTGAATTATGGTTTTGGTGAAGAATACTAAAAATACCATGGACTGCCAAAAGAATGAACAAATCTGCCCTGGAAGAAGTGCTTCCAGAATGCTCTTTGGAAGTGAGACTGGCCAGACTTTGTCTCACCTACTTTGGTCATATTGTCAGAAGGGACCATTCCCTGGAGAAGGGTATCATGCTTGGCAAAGTAGAGGGTCAGCGAAGAAGGGGAAGATCCTCCCCAAGGTGGATTGATACCGTGGCTGCAATGATGGGCTCAAGCATAGCAAGGATTGGGAGGCTAGTGCAGGACCAGGCAGTGCTTTGTTCTGTTGTACATGGGTGGCTGTGAGCCCCAGCTGACTCGATGGCACCTAACAGCAATGGATTGACATGGTGGCTGCTACGATGGGCTCAAGTATAGCAGGGATCATGGAGCTGGCGCAGGATCTGTCAGTGTTTTGTTCTGCTGTGGAAGGGGTCACTATGAGTTGGAAACGACTCAACGGCACTTAACAACAACAGTGGAAAAGATGAATTTGTATTTGAGCATTTCACAAAATAATTCTCTTTTCAGAATCTCTATATGTTACAGTTTTGTCTTGCAAAATTTTATCAAAATACTGTTTGAGGAGAGTACTTTGAAGTGATGCTCTAAAGAAGTTAGACTGAAAATGGTAGTAAATGGATTTGATTTTCCAGTAACTCATCTCTTCCCCACCCCATTTCCCCCCTTTAGGATGGAGTAGTATCTCCCAGTGACCTGGACCTTGTCATGTCAGACGGATTGGGGATGCGGTATGCGTTCATCGGGCCCCTGGAGACAATGCATCTTAACGCAGACGGTACAGTTTGTTCCATGTGCAGCTAAGATGAGAATCCATTGCTGCTTGGTGTTTTCATGGGTTTGTAAACTGTCCGATTCTGTGACTCCTTACAACTGGATGGAAGCAATAGGATGTATAGTAGACAGCAGCAAGTGGTTGGCTGGATGCACGCGCACTGAGATGTAGGTGTGCAAGGAAACCAGACCTGGGGCAGGAAGAGCGTGCTGAGCAGCGTTAGAGACAGGTGAGGTGATGGAGAGTTCACTGCATACCATCCAGCCTGGCAGAGGCAGCAGCTGTGTATCCTGATAAGGATGATAAAATTACTTACAGAAGCAAGGAAAAAGAAAAGATGGAATTGGAGACTCAACTTACCTGAACCTCTTGTAGACCTGTCTTCTGCTTCTAGACGCACAGCTTCTGAGTTGCAATTTGCTGTGGGCATGTTTCCCTTTCAGAAGGCTAAGGGAGCAATTACCACTTGTATCTATTGCAGGCCATTTCCAAGGGGAAGGGTTGGCGAAGGGCAAGATTAGCAGGGTGGGGCAGGAGGTTACAGAGAAGCAGATTTCAAAAGGTTTTGGGGAAAAGTAGGTATGAGCCCACGATCTGGTAACTCTGAAAGAAAGATAAGAAGCAGCAGCTTCCAAGAATGAAACTGTTAGCCAAATTTTAAGTGATCCAAAAGAAAACATATTTGAAAAGCAAACAGGTAGTAAAACTGATACTAAATTAAAAGAGAAAGCCATATCAAAAATCTGGAAGGATGCACAAAAAACGTTACTATCTCTTGGTAACTTTTATTTACCTTTTGCTTTTTCTGGAGCTCTGGCAGTGACATGCTTAAGGCATTTGGCTGCTAACCTAAAGGTTGATGGTTTGAGCGCACCAGCCACTCTGCAGAAGAAAGATGAGGTAGTCTGCTTCCATAAAGATTTACAGCCTTGGAAACCCAATAGGGGTGGCTTTGAGTCAGAATTGACTGGATGACAGTGAGTTGTTTGTTTTTTTCCCCCCTTTTGAGTGCTGTCTTAAATTTCTACATCTATATTATTTTATTAATAATATTATTAAGTTTTAAATGTATGTAGATATGAGAAGAGAATATTTGTCTTTAGGTCCAGAGTCCACATTTAGGAGGAGCTGTGTGGCACAAACTGTTAAGTGCTTGGCTGCTAATTGAAAGGTTGGCAGTTCGAGCCCTGCCATCAACTCTGTGGAGAGAGACTTGGCAATCTGTTTCTGTCAAGATTATAGCCAAGAAGAGACCCTATGGGGAAGTTCTACTCTGTCACATGGGGTTGCCATCAGTAGAAATTGATTCTACTATACCTAACAACAACATTTGATAAACTAGAATTTATCCAGAAGGTGACCAGTGTGTGTGTGTGTGGGGGGGGGGGGTTTGGGGGGGGGTGTCTGTCTGTTCATGTCTCTTCTGGGGGTAGAACCAGAACAGATGACTGGAAATGGCAGGCGAAAAAGTTTGGGCTCAGTGCAGTGCAGGAAGAACTTTCTAGAACTGGAGCTGATATCCAAGAGAGACTCATGCTGTGAAGGGGTGAGATGAACGGATGGGCTGGCTGGTCACCTGTCAGGGTGTGTAGTAGAAACAGCTGCACTGCCGTGGAAGTTGGAGTGGGTGACTTTTTGGAGTCTGCTTGACTTTGATTATATAATTCCATGACTTTTTGGCAAAAAACCAAACCCCCTGCCATCAAGTCGATTCCGACTCATAGCGATCCCCATTGAGTTTCCAAGGCGGTAAATCTTTACGGAAGTACATTGCCCCATCTTCCCTTCGTGGAGTGGCTGGTGGGTTTGAACTGCCAGCCTTCTGGTTAGCAGTCAGATGCCTTAGGCACTACACCACCAGAATAGTTTTGACTATAATAATTAATTTCCAATAAATAATTCAGGACAGTTTTACTGGCCATATTCTCGCATGCAGCAGGTATACATATTATTTCTTGACTTGCTTTTTCTTAAGGTCAAGCATCTGCTAAGAGCTGCTGAGGGAAAAAGGGTAATCTCTCCTAGCATTAGTATATAAGTTTTGTGGCAGAACAACCATTAAACATAGGAGACTATTATAAATAAAGTAAGATGCCCACATAGAAGTGATGCCAAAGTTTTGAAGCATTGTTAAAACAAAGGCTTAGATAATTCCAAATGTTTTTTCCAACTAGAACCTCAAAAATGGTGAACATATTTAAGCATTTGAAATGTACATAGGCACTTCCTAATAACCACCATGTTTTCTCTTTTTCTTGAGAAAAATAAGATAATCCAAGTATCACAAGAAATCAGTAGACAGAAAACTGAGAACAGCATTGACTTTCAAACAAACAGAAGCAATGAAACCAGAAACTCAAGAATCAAATAGTGTGGCAGACAGGAAGGAGGCCCATTAACAATTTTTTAAACAAAAGCAAATATGATAAGAAAACCTAATAGGCTTAATATGATAATGGCAGACGAACGTAGTTTTCAACTTCAGAGCATTCCAACCACCAGAGTCAGACAGTTATAAGATCTGGCTGGGAATCGATGAGAATGCTCGTTATTCTTCCAGTGTTGCCCAGAATATATCAAGATTGGAGTTAGGAGAACTCTTCTTGTTTTCTGATACTGCTTTCATAAAGCTAGCATCTCAGGTTAGGGGGATATTAGTCTTAAAAGCTACTATCTATCTAGAACTAGTAAAAATATTTTAGGATTTGTTTTTAATCTAATAAAATATTACCTGAAAAACAAGAGTCCAGCTTGCCTGTTTTATCACTCACTACTTTCTAGAAGAGTCAGACGTGAAGGACAAGGGTTATGGCATGGTTATGGCTGAGGGGGCTAGTCGGCCTGAGCCGTACACTGGCTTTACCACTTACTAGCTGAATAACTTTGGGCAAGTTGCTAAGCTCACTTTACCTCAGCTTGCCGGTCTGTACAATGGGAATAACAGTGGTGACTACCTCACAGTGGTATTGTTGACAGTGAAACCAGACAGAAGCACTTAGTAGGATGGCTGGCACGTGCTAAGTCCTTAATAAATGACTTTTGTCTTGTTTGTTTAATCTACTACTCTCCTAGGGTGTTTTTGTTTTTGTTTTTGTTTTGGGTTCTAAAAAGATTCCTAAGTGCATGAGAGGAAAACACAAAATAAACACAAATGAGGACACTTTTGCCATGACATAGTGCCTAAGGTATTTGACTGGTAACCAGAAGGTTGGCAGTTCAAACCCACCAACTGCTCCCCAGAAGGAAGACTGGACAATCTGCTTCCATAAAGATTTACCACCTCAGAAACTCAATGCAGGTCACTGTGAATCTGAATCAACTCGATGGCAGTGGGTTTTTTTGTTTCTTTTTTTAGAGAAACTACAGAGTTTAACTGTTTGGTATGTGTGTCTCTGTTAGGCTCTTAGACTAGCAGATCAACAAAGATAACTGCCCCATCTTCTTAGGTCTGGTAGCCCCTGGGCCCTTGCTTAGTTTTCTCCATCTGGTAAATAACTGTCTCAGGCCTCAGCAGAGGACTCAGGTGAAGTGAATGGTGACTGTTTTTGCCTCACACTCACCTCTCGTGTGTACTTTTTTCTTGTTTTTCCATCGAGATGCCTGCTTCATGGTTTGGTTCATGTACTGGAGCTGTTACTCACAGATGGGAGCATGGCCTGTGTGAGGTCGGAGCCTCAGGGTTGGTCTCTGCCTCATCTGACCCACTGACCTCAGGCGAGTCATAACCCAGAGAGGAATTGAATACTCGAGGAAGAGTTGGATCCTGCTGTTCTGTGGTTTGGAGCCTTTTGGCTCTTGATACATTTGTGAAACCCATCTTGTAAAAGCAGAATTCACACAGGCATGGGTTTACAGGCTCTGTGGTGTGGGTAACCATCAGTGCTAAGACACTGACCACCAAGAGCTCATGTGACCCCTCACCCAGCATGCCTACAACCATAGCTTCCATCTGTGATGGATCTGTAAGGATGGAACCACTTGCAGCAGGCCTGCTCTATCAGTGTGAATGGGAAGGCTGGTCTACCACCTCTCCACCATTGGGGTATACTGCAGGTTCAAGATGATGCACCTTGTCACTCTTGAGGGCTTACAGCTGAAGAATTTCATGTTAGAAAACAAGATAAGATAAATTGAATCTGTTTCTTCTTTTTCCTTGTAATAGCATCTCTTAAGAATATAGGTTCAAAGTCTTCTAAAAAAAATTAAGCTTGAAGAAGAACAGAGCTGAAGAAAATAGAAGGCTTGGAAACTCACTAACCCACTGCCATCCAGTCAATTCCAACTCATAGCAACCCTATAGGACAGGGTAGAACTGCCCCCTAAAGTTTCTAAGGCTGTAAATCTTTATGGAAGCAGACTTCCTCATTTTTCTCCCATGGAGGAAGGGCTGGTGGGTTTAAACCACTGACCTTTTGATTAGCAGCCAAATACTTTAACCACTGCACCACCAAAGCTCCTTGAGGGCTTGGAAGCATAGGAGAAAAAATACAAGAGAAGGCTAATTTTGATGGAGGAGCTCTGGTAGTGTAGTGCCTAAGGCATTTGACTGCTAACCAGAAAGCTGGTGGTTCAAACCCACCAGCCACTCCTCGGAAGGAAGATTGGGCAATCTACTTCTGTAGTGATACTGCCTCAGAAACCCAAGGAGGGGTTGCTATGAGTCAGATCTGACTCAATGGCAGTGAGTTTTGAATTTTGATAAAAATGTAGGAAGGATAGACTAGGGGGATAAAAGATGAAGTTTGTTTTCATCTCTGATAAAATGAAATCGAGTGATTCCCATTCACTTCTTCTTTCATGGTGGGTAAGGCATTTGGCTGCTAACCAGAAGGTGAGAGTTCAAACCCACCAGCTACTTCACAGGAGGAAGATGAGGCCATATACTTCCATAAAGATTTACAGCCTTGGAACCCAAAGGGGGTCGCTATGAGTCAGCGTCAACTTGATGGCAATGGGTTTGGTTTTTTTGGTTTTCTTCTTTCATGCTGTAGAGAAGCCATAAT